TGCAGCATGTCAACAAGGCCCAGCTGTCTGTACACAAACATACTGGAGTCGTTTTCATAAGGTAATTAGACTGTAATCAACAGTTATTAAGAAATTTAAAGAAAATGAAAATATTCGCATCACCTTAATGACGGGTATTAGTAATATATATACTGTAGTATATATATAGTACAAGTACAGTAACGTCCAGTGTAGCTTCCTTCGTGAACCACCTACCATACTGTTGGGCCCCTGACACTGTCTCTTTTATGTATAACATTGTCATTAAGTTTATCTGCTTCATTTTATCGTTTTAGTGTTGAATTTTTACGACTGGAATAAATAGTTGGGTAATCTTGTATTTGATGAGCATAATATCACCACACTGGAGCGGGTTCAGGTACATTCAGGAGCCGGTGCATGGCCAGTACCTGCCAACAGTGCGTGACAGAGACGTGACCGATCGCCCAAGCGGCTAACGAGCCGATCAGTGGCGAAGAGGATAAAAATAAAAGTGCTGTATTATGTAATTGTCGTTCATTAAATGACACGAACCTAACATAAGTTGAGCTCCTCCCAACCATTACCTTGGTTGGGTTAGGTAGATTAATTTGGTTCATTTTATAAACGATTAGTTATATAATACAGCAATGTCTGATACTTCGGGAAGGTCCCAGTCTCGCCAAATGTCAATATATGTGATTATAATTTTATGTCCGTCTTGAAGATTCATAAAACTTGCTGGGGAAATAACCGTAATTACCAGGTACTTAATGGGGTAAAATGATCGTTTTGGTCATGCACCTATTTGGAAGTCGTTCAAAAAACATCGGAAAACCATAATTTCATCCTAACCTAAGCTTAAATATGTCTTACTTCATCTAAAACAAATTGGGTGGAGGAAGAGCATTTGGTTGTAGCTCAGACGAGGTGTGGACATGTAGGACATCTCTTCACCATAGAACATAAATGTTTTTTTTTACATCATGAAATTAACAATATTTTTCCTGAGTACATTTCAAAGAGCATTTCCTCTGACTCTTGATACATTGACACATTCATTACTGTCTCTATATTTCCTGAAGGCTGACCGGTTAAACAAAAGGAGCAGACGAGACAACACAAGCCAACAAGGGTATATTTTTGGGAGGCATATTTACGGTAATCTGATTTCTTCACATACAAAGCACGTAGAGACATCGTTTTAGTGTTATATGATCAGTTTTCACCGTGTTTTAGCTACCACTTCATTTCCTTCATCCTTCATATCCTGCCACTTCATTTCCTTCATCCTTCATATCCTGCCCATTACTGGTGACTTTTTATTGGAGATAGAAAAAACTAAACAATTTACTTATAAATTAAAAATTGTATCGTTTTTATTACTTATTGTCATTCAAAGAACCTCTGTGCCAAAAATTTATGAAATCGAGCAACTCCTGGTGTTAGCAATCAGCTCCAGTATTACCCAAGTGTTTTTTAAGTATTATAAGGAGATAAGGATCACCTAAACACTATCCTTTCCCTCGCCTCTTGTTCTTCAGGTGAAACAGACTGGTGTGGACAATCATCATGACAAATGGGCATATGCTGTACGACCTTGACCTGACCTGTCCTGTATAGCTGATGCACATACTTAGATGACCTTACCTGAGGTTAGGTTAGGTTAGGTGGAGTGGGTTGGGAGCGGAGAATCTTCAGATTGACACTCTGGTGGGGAGGTTGTTCAAGTGGTCTGAAGATAATTATTAGTTTGCAGAAGGTAAGGTTAGGTCTTTTAGTTTTGGTTAAGCAGTTGGTTTAAGTATTAATCATATACAGTATTATGGCAGTAGCTGATACAGTACCTCCAGTATGTCATTGGATGTCGGTTGGCGGCCTCATGTCATTTTTTTTTACTTGAACTTGGAGGATATCGTGAAATTTATATCATGGAAAACATATTGCTCTTGCATTTGTTGCTGTTTTCATGAAGTAAGAAAACGTTTATGTTCTTTGGTGAAATTTAATACAGTAGATAGTTAAGGGACACATCTCAACAGGATTATTAACTAACATTTTCCATGTCCAAGTTTTCACCCTAGTTTTTCTGTACAGTACAGTATATATGAACTAAGAAGTTTAACATGTTGACAGAACAATTCAGTATACACTAAAGGACTGAGCACAATTATGCACGGGTGATGTGAGAAGTCACCTAGTGATCCACTGTAATTTTGTGTATTGCACACAAGATGTTGGAATTTTTTTTATGAAAATTTTGTCCACTAGCCCCTAATTGCCTGAACAAAGCCAAATTTGGAAGTCTTGAGGTTTAAAATTGTATAAACTCATACTGTAATGGTTTAATGAACTGTACAGTATTTTAGAGTTACAGTAAATAATTATCTAAGCCCTTCTTTTCAGCTCATGACCAACTACAATGCAGGCTGCTAGTGCAGTTCATGTCTCAGAAGCCTGGTGGACTGAAGCTTGCAAAAAAATAAAAAATTCTGTCGTGTTTGTCGACAATAACACAGCAGAATGTCTTCACTGGAGTGGAGGACTCACGAGATTGGTTAATGCAGGAGCAAAAAATGTGAAGGAATTTTCATCTTTTGAGGTAAAGGTTTATTGATTAAGTTTAGTTGTAATAACTCAGTATGTAGAGTAACTAATTAGGTTGACGTATCAAATAACATTTTATGGACTATAGATCATTGACAAGGTACAGTACCTAGAAAATTGCTCTACCAAAACTCCTCCTTGGCAGAGTTTACCTTTCTCAAGGGATTACTGTACAGATATCTCCATTTTGAAGCTGGGACTTTGTCCTTGTAGAATAATATAAATTGCCGGATAACCAGACTTCAAAAGCCAGTAAGCCAATACAGCCACTCATCGACTTACGACGGGGTGAGGGACCCAAATCCAGGTCGTAAGTCGAAAATGCGAAGATAATACTTGTACATAGAAAATTTAAAATGGGTGTCTCTTTTTCTTTTCAGCACCACAAAACTCTCACTTTTAAGCATGCCAGCCATTTTAAAGGGAATTACAAACGAAAATTTTGTCAGTACACAGCGCAATCACTAACGTCGGGACTCGAAAATGCGTAATTTGAAAATTTTTTGGTACGCCTGGGGCGGTCGTATGTCCGGGTGGTCGTAAGTCGAGGAGTGGCTGTACCGGTATATACTTTGGTCATAAAACTTGGGTCTTGGGATCAATCCACCACTCTTTCCTTGTTATTTGTGTTTCAGCTGTGGTAATAAGCCAGTTATTTTACCCTCAGAGAGGAAACAAGGATGACATGAAGGCGGCCTTCATGGTGAGCACCGCCATTAGGGACACGACCGCCACCATATTACAAGACATCATTAAGGCCTCCAGTTTTCAGTATTGCATCGTCATCACATGTGCCCATCCCAACGTCCATGCGTATGCCCGCTACGGTGGACGAGAAGTAGATGAAGCCGTCTTGATGAATGAACTGGAACAAGATGTCTTGGCCTGGATGGGCAACATGGTAATTTACTGACCAAGTTAAAGAACCACCTCATGTCAAATATGTTTTATGAATTATAGATATTATATACAATAGTAGTTATAGTCCACTTTGTATGTTTACTTACCTTTTGAATGGATGCGTGTTTGACTCGTGTTATTTTTGCCAATTTTCAGAATTACACCGCGGAGATATTTTACCTACCTCTGGTTGTGGCACCATATTCAGAAAATTTATTCTTTATGCCACCATTTTCCACATTGTATCCACTACTCAACTCAGATGTTAGAAGAATATCCAAGCTGCAGCAGGCATGTGGAAAAGGGGATAAAATTAAACCAGTGGAAAATCTTGGTGAGTAACCAAGCTGCTTCATATGCCTCTGTGGAGTTTCGGTACAGTACAGTATTAAGGGATGAAAGTCAGTACTGTACAGGGGTAGCTTAGAGTGATGAAGGTCGATACTGTAGCTTAAAATAATGCAAGCGTTTTCCCATAAGATGTGTTCTTCAGAAAGCTCGCATCCTCCACAAGAAGCCCCCGAATATATACCTCTGGTTTATCCCTGTTGCCTCGCACAACCTAACATCACCCATCAGTAACCATACTTATCACCTGTTTGAAATTGTCTTTTCGAATTCTGATTAAATTAGACATTGTTTACTTTTTCAGGTGAAGTCGAGTTTCACCATCTTCCCAATGAGATGCGAATAATGGTCCGTCAATTTGTCGTGTGCCTTCATAGCCTTCTACAGGGAATGAATGCCAGAGATGAAATATACACCATTGGACACACGTCTCGTATTATCGGAACTGAACTTGATGCTTTCACCCCAGCTAGACAGAGAAGGAAGGTTAGTAATGCTTTTGGTCTGTACAAGAGGTGAAATAACAGGTGTCAAATTTCATTTTGTGGAAAACTCCCATCATTAAGAAGCAAATCCCTGTACAAAACTACAAAGGTGTTTATATAATTTGTTTATCATTACATAGCAGCCTTTTGCTGTTGAGGTTTTCCAAAATATTCACCACATTCTGTATTGTGCCATGGCCAAGCACCTTAGATGTGACTTGTTGTTACCATCTCAGGGACCAATACTTCCTATAATTTGTTGTTGTATTTTATCTGTACATCATGATCATGTATGTTAGCTGGATGAACTGGGATTATCCTAGGCACAAACTAGAGACCCTTAAGATAGGAGCAGAGTGTTGTAATGACTTGACTACTCCACCATTGGACAAGCTCAGCTGGAGTCAAAGTCACTTAAACAGGGCACACCTTTATTTATATCACTCCTAGTACTGTACATAAGAAAACAACATGATCCCCAAATTATGACCCAAGTTATACATGGCTGACAAGATATTATTCATAAATCATGACACTTAAACTCACATCCTGGAATATATCACTGTATGGAAATAGGATATATAAATTACATGGTGTTGTCTTAAGTAGTACAGTATAGTATATGTTGCTCTGCGGCTGATCAGTTATGACAAGGAATACTGTATTTTATCAAGACTGTATCTAAATTTGTATTACTGTACTACTGAAGTACATAATTAATATAAAAGATTTGTTTTGTACTGTACTAATAAATCTAAAAATTTGTTGGTGATATCCAGCTTGGTAAATGTATGTTAGTGAGGGCTTTGTATCACCAAGGAGACTATGTGGATCTGATAACTGCACCAGATAATACATATCATTTGTATTGTGATGCCAATAATAGAAGGGAAGTAAGCACACTATAATAAGTGTAACATCCAGTTAAATAGCAGGAAACCTAGGAAGAGAGACATATACAAGGTGGGTCAAAATTAACTGATATATTGTACTATATTTTCAACTTGTGTAAAATCCTGTCATTATCATCATACACAACATACTGTACATCATACATCATACATAATATACAACATACATGTGTCAAAAATGTATAGAGTTTAGGTACACATACATTGTTTATACTGAATCTCTTTCAAGTCATGTGTCAGTCATTTCTCACCCACCCTGTACTATATATTGTACGTCACATGTAGCAGGTTAATGGTGTTTTATGACATTCAGCTGTCTAATTGATGGGGTTGTTTAATATTCCTACTCATTTTTTCCTGCTCAAACAGATGGCTGCTAACAAAGTATCGGTGGTGTTAGTCGACCGAACTTTGGACCTGGTGAGCGCATCCAGTCATGGAGGGGAGACTCTGATGGGCAGGATCTTGTCTCTCTTGCCGCGTCTGTATGGTCATCAGCTGGACTCCGCAGTAAACATGTCTCCTTTGTGCGAGGTTCACCCGTACGTGCAGTGAATATTTGTGATAGTTCTTTATGTCTTAACCCCTACATCACAGGAATGTCTTATTTTTATATTCTATTTTGCTAACGCCGGACGATTTTATTCAGCTCAGAGGCGAAATTGTACAAAGGGGTTAAGTAATATATAAGTACAAGAGCATCCCATAAGAACAGTGTAGTTATGGTTGGTGTAAGGTTCTGAACCGCCTCTCAGAACCTCAATTTTGCTAAGATTTCACCTACAGTAGTGTTTAAACTGTGATTTAAAAATTGAGAATGTAGTTTTCCTCAAACCCTCTTAGTGGTCACAAAATGTACAGTATGTTTTTATATTTTTTCCTAATTGACTATGTAGGATGGCTCCCCTGGAAAACTCACTATAGTAGGGGTTAAGTGCATTAGTACTTACGCAAATTAGCCTGTGTTATCTTAATTATTCACCATTGAAAGTGTAATTTTTCTTTGTTCATTCTTGTAAACCCTTTCACTATACTGTATTCAGCCAGAATTATGAGTTGCACTGTCATTTCCAGATTTATATCAAGGTTAATGGCTTTTTGGGCTCTTATAGCTCTACTGCTGTTACCTGCATTTATAGGCCTCTTTCAACAAGGGTGTCACTGTACAGTCTAGAATGCAATAGGTATAAAAACCAAGAAAGTGGATTGTACCTAACTCAAACCAAGTCAATATCATGCTCACACCAATACAGAGCAAGTACTGGTACCGTATAAGACATGCTGGCTAACAGTTTTAAATGCTCTAAGATATTTTATATGAAGAAATTATAATTTTGGCAATTTTTTTCTATAATACAGGTTTTGTGGAATAATTTGGCCCTATTTCCATATGGTTGAGTTTTTTTTGGGGGGGGG